ATTGAAAAGTTTCGATTACTTATTAACTTCACAAAGTATCGTTTCATTAAAGTATAATGCTCTAATGTATGTTATATAATAAATATCATAATGCTTTAACTATGCTCGGTAATGTAAATAATGTTATTTTTTTATCGAGAATAAGACAAAAGTTGCTTGATTTCTTGATTTTCCATTATATGAAAAAAAAAGTTACATGGAATCAAAGAAAAGATTAAACAGGAATAAAAATTTCACTATAGGAAAAAAAAGTTATTATATTACATTAATATTGGAAGATTCAAATTTCTCAAATTTCTAGTTGATATTCTAAAGATTGAAAAACTTTTATATTTGCAAAAAAGAATCATTAAACAAAAAATAATATCAAAAATATAAATGTCTTTTATTACCAGAATTTGATTCCGTTTTGTGATCTATACATGGAAAAATCTCAATTGTTTCCAACAATTTGCAGTTCATTCAACAAACACAATATGCAATTTTGAGGTTAGCAACATTAATCAAGCAATGCCGACAACTATATAGGTTAACGCTGTTTAACCAACACGAAGATCAAACAAATAATTCCGTGAAAAGCGTATAACAAAGAGCGGAAAAAAACTAAAATGACATATAAGATGATGAAAGATTAAAACGAATTCAATTTGACTGTTGAACGGAACATGAAATGTGACGATCGCGTTTCTTGTTATAGTACGTGCACAGTGTCACGCGCATTACCCATCAGAGGTGACATTCATCTTTCTTTCGTAAAAATACCGGTTAATTAACCACTATGCCTATCCGACCTTGCAATTAATCGTACTGTTGCGCATGGATACGTGTTTGCTTCCGGCGTAATCCCTGATATACTACCAATACGCTTCTTAATTACAACCAGCCGTTCCGAATTACACTTTCCGCCAGAAATATAGGTTAAATACGTACACTCCCGCTCTAAATGTCTTAGGATATTTATTTTTAATCAGATTTTAATACTTGTTATAAATTGATTTTTTATGCCTTTTTTTTGATTAAAATATATTTTTCTAATGATATATAAATTGAATATTTATAATTATAATTATATTAGGTTAGCTAATAAATATTGATTTATATATTTTTTATATATTCATATATTTTTATACTAATTTTTTTGTTTAATTTTTAGATAAATATAATGAATATTCTTTTGGCTTTTGAATGTACATCGTTAAAATAATGTGCTCGTACACCTTTCGTAATAATATAATATATAATATAATATATATTATTTGAAGTAATCAGGAGGCTAGCTAATTCTAATAAGCTTGCTGATATTTTATGAAGCTTAAAAAATTCAAATTGAACACTAAATAAAAATTGAATAGATGAAAAAAAGATATTATTTTAATATTCAGAATTGATTATTAAATTGTAATTAATATTATTAAATTGTTTGAATCCATAAATACGAATTCGAACGGAATAATTGAAAATAGTTGAAATTAGTTAATAACTTTGTCTCATATTTTATGATAAGAAGTTTATTACTTGTATTAGTTATATGCTATAAGGAAAATTTTAATGCTCGAAAGATGAACGAAATTAAATTTCAGATACTTCGTTCACATGTAAACTCGGTTATATATCTATGAATAAATATATTTACTGAAAATAACTGTTCTCTATTTGTACAGCTTGATTAAATAAGCCGTAGAATCTTCGATGCAATATATTCGAATGCTTTAAATATCACAATTGTTTTATTAACACATAAAATGATGATATTGTATTAAAATAATTAAATTAATTTAACTTTAAATACATTTAAAAAAATTATTACTATTATTAAAAAAAGAAAGAACATGTTGATGGTAATTTATATTATAATTTACAAATTAATTTTAGAAATTATAATATATTACTGATTAAATATTCACAAAAAAAATATATGTCATTATTATTAGAGTATGATAAGTATAGCATAAATAATGTATAAAATTGCTAATATTGATGAACAAAAAATAACAATCACTTTATATAAAGAACTTTATATAAAGAATATTAAGTTTCTGAAATACAGACGACGTAGACCTTACCTAATCCAATTCAAACGATAACACAATCATCGGATTAGATACAGATAACTTCAGGATCATGAGAATCCTTATAGAAGATATTTCATTGTCCTAACAAATTCAACATGGATATACTTGAATTTAAAATCAGATAATAAATATCAAATATATGAAATTTAGTTAATTAGGACAAACATAATTAGACATGTTAAGTATATTGATTAAATTTTATGATAAAAAAAAAAAGGAATACTTTATGCTAAAGTCAGAATTCAAACTTATTAGGTTAAGACTGAATCATATTTTAGTTATATACGCATTATTTATTTTAATTCGATTATCTCACGATGGCTAGCTAATTAAATGGATTTAGTTTGGATTAGCTTGAAGTCTTAAAAGATACTTAAAAGATACGTTTAACATGCAGATTTAGTAAAGGATTATGTTTCAACAAGGCCAAATAAATCTAAATTAAAGTTAAAATTAATTTATAAATAAATGATTGAGTTAAAGAAAATAATAAATCTAATTTAACCTAATCAAAATCTTATACAAACCTAAATCTCTTCCAAATGTAATTCAAACTAATTTAAGCTAAATCTATCTATCTAAATCTATCTCAAATTACATTGAAACATTTATAAATACAACATAGATAATAAGATACAAAATATTTTTATATATATTTCGAAAATTAAAATGATCTTGAAAATCAGAATTAGTGAGATAGCGGTATCTAAATATCAAATATGATTTATCAATAATAACATTTTGTTGTAAATAGACAAATTCTACAGTTTTTTTTCCCCATTGATTTCATACAAATCAAACGTGTTAAACTTGTGAAAATGGATATACGTCTACCAACGATATCATAAATATTTAAAAAAAAGAACGATGACGTAAGTAACCGTTACTAATCTGAGTTGTAATGTTTACATTAGGAACGAAGTCAAATTCGATCTAAAGAAAAATTACATTTCCCAAGAACATATCGAAATAAATCATGTATAACAATTTTATGCATATCTATAAATAATAAAGTGGATCACAAAATTGAGCAAAATGTAAACGACTCAAATATCTGTTATCTTAATTTGAAAATATGAAGAAATAATTCAATAATCAAAATAAAATCAATATTGTAACAACGATCAAGTATAATTTTCTATAAGTTATAAATAATTATAAATTATTTATCTATTTAGAGATAAATTTGAATATATAAAATACATGAAAGATGAAAGATCAAAATCTAACGATAATAAGACAACGAAAATTTTTAAAAAATAATTCATATATAGTTAATTTGTTTTAGTATATAATCTTTTGTATGTAATTATCTTATAACATAAATATTAACTTATAAAAAACATTGTTTTTAAAAAAATAGTTTAGTTTTCTATAAAAAATTAATATTTATTTTTATTTCCAATAAATAATATTTTAATTATTGGTAAGGATTATTTTTTATTTATAAAATAATTTATTAATCCTGTTTAAAAAAAAAATCTCGTTTTTTATTAAAGAATTAATTAAAGAATTGATCTCAAATATTAATTTATTAATCCTGTATTGTCAAAATTGTATTGTCAAAAATTGCATCATTTTGTAATGAATAAAAATAAATGATAATTTTAATGCTAGATCAGAAAAATACAACGAATGTGATATATTTAAATTTTTTTTAATTTTTTTTTATTATTATTTTTGTTATATATTAAACTATATATTATCAGTTTAATTAAATTATAGCTACGATAATTTAAAAGTTTGTAATAAATGATTGTATGTTTCTAAAATGTTACGATGTTACTCATAAAATAACAGAATAATTTATAATATAAATTTATATTCATATTCTCTTTAATTATATTTTATTTCAATGAAGATCATTGTGTTTAATTTTTAGGTATAAATAAAATCATTTTGTTTATTTGATTTAAAATATTTTATCCATTCTGGATAAAATAAAAGGAAACAATTGAGAAACTTGAGTAAGAGTTGTTAAAGTTGTTCTGTTAGATTTAAAAAAAGAGTATTCTTATTATAAAATATTTTTGAATAAAACAGTAATGATCTCCATCTTTTATTTTTTATTTTATTTTTTTAAAATAAAAAATTTTTAGATATATATATAACTCTTGTTATAAAATTTATAAAAATTTATAACTCTTAAGAACATGCATCAAATTTATCGAAAATTTCGATTATCTATATATGTAATAGTAATTAACACGGATAACTATAATTTGACTAACGGCAACGTTCGACAAAGCGAGCGACTAAATGATTGCAAAAACATTTATACATAACTGAACGTATAATGTAGCTCATAATAATAAGAATAGAAAATTAGAGCTGATACGCTTCATAAATATGAAGCATTTTATTTAATTGTAATTTTTATTTACTTGGTATTATATATGTTTGAACATTAATTGTTCGAATAAATATAAAAATATAAAATAAATAATTAATTATTGAAATTATGATATTAGAATCAAACATGATTTATATAGTATTTATATCGTAAATTTATTCCAAATATATCTGATTTTTATCATCTAATTAATATTATGAATCGCTAAATTGTATCAAAAATGATTCGGTTATCTAATTACAAAAATTAATTGACATTAAAACATTAAAACATGTAATCTAATCAATTACTTACTTCAAAATCATTTCATAAAAAATGAATAGTATGTTATAAAATAAAAGTATGTTACATTTTATTTTTAAATGATTTAAACAATATTTTGATATTATAATAAATATATGTAATTTATAATTATAAGTATATATAATTAAATATTATTAAAGATTAATAATTTAAATATTATTAAAGATAGAAATTAAATAGAAATTAAATTAAAAAGAAATTAAGAAAAAATTTTATAAAATGAAATATATTAATTAGTTGTTTTATTTTTACATTAACATATATGCAATTACCTTGATACGATGCGTTGTACTGTTTAAAAATTTTTTAGCAACGATGTCGTTAATTTGTGTAATAATCGTTCTTGTTGCTGCTATGGAAAATAATCGTTGCGTGCTTTCCCAATAGCTGCTTTGTTAGTAGCAATGAAATTGTTAATATCAAAAAGCGTTTCACGAATTATGTATACACACACTGAACAAATTTTTCACCATAGAACTCTATACACTGTCGATAAATAGATAATGGCACAATGTGTTTTCTCCTTTCCAAGATTGAAAGACTGTTAAGTACCAATTACTGTTTTAAAAACCATAAAAATTAACTTCATGTATTCTCCAATTTATTTCATTGATAAAAATTAAAGTAGTGCAGATTTCGATCTATGATAAGTACTTTGTATTATTTGCATTGAGGTTAGGTTTTGCATTAAGTACAAAAATGATGTGAACTTTTAGATGATATTGATAACAAACCCTATGATTTGTTAACACATGCCAATCATATTTTTTTGTCATTCAGTTGTACATATTTTCTTTTGGTTTTTTGCATTTAAATATAAATTAATAAAATCATAATTCCAATATTCAATGATTTAATAATAACTGATTAAAATCAGATTTTATTTTATTTATTTTGTCAAATTTTGTTTAATTTATCAAATTATGTTATCGAAAAATCATCTCATATCATTTTCATTTGTTGATAAAACGCATAATCATTAAACTGTTGAAAAATTTACAAATTTTCTTTACTAAAACACTTCCACAGTATTAATCGATTTGTGTTTGTAAAAATTTTCGTTACACCAAAAAGCGCACACAAATATGTTGGATTTGACCTCTTGCAATGGCGAGCTTCGCTCTTCGTTTCTTCACTATAATGAATGACGTTTATTGCTCTTTCTCAAAGATAGAATTCAAGCAGTTGTTCAACATTCGTAAGAAAAACTTTGAAATAATTGAGACGACAAATAGGTATCTGTCTCCTTTTGAACTTGTCATTCAACGATAGTATGTTGACACTTAACCTAAGCACGTCGTAAAAATGCCGAACGCACCACCTTCGTCTTGAAAATATTTGTCGTTTTTAATCTTGAAAATACAAGTTTTAACATCAAATTTAAACTTTACATTAAGTACACGGTAAGTAACGAACGTCGACGATCCTCGATATCGTTTCCGCCGTGAAAAATGATTCGTCACCAAAAACTTTTTCGCCAACGATTTATTTCATTTTTGCAAATATGTTAATCACACTCTTTACACCGGACGGATAAATAAACCACGAAATAAAGATATTTTATTAAATAGCCAAGGCTATGGTGCCGCGTTATAGGCCATGAAGCGGCCGGCACGCAAGAAACCGGTGGCAGTTTCAAGAAGCGTACACCCCCGATCGCACATCCTTCTTGGAGCCCTGGCGAGAGCCAACTGCTCCATGCACTTGTATGCCAACATTCAAGGCGGTTCTACAAGTGACCAGCTGATTGAATAAACGATCTGGACGTTTGATACACACACGATTCAATTATCACGTTTTCTATATAAAAATGATTTTTATAATTAAATATAAATTGATCAGATTTCAAATATATATATTATTAGAAAAACAATTTGTGGCAATCGAGAAATTAAATAGAAAAAGAGTAAACGAAAAAGAGGTACTGCGATCATATCTCTTTCTCGTCTTTAATATAATCGTCACTTCATATTACCAAATTTTTAGATGCATTGGAAGAGGGCACCACTAACTGCAAACGATGTATGAACGTTTGATTATCAATATAGTTTTTTAACAAATATTTGCCATAAATAAAAAAAAGATAAGGCGAAGATAATTATTTAACAATTTAATTATCTAATACAGTACTTAATTAAATTAAATGAATAAATTCTATCTAATATAAAAAAAAAAAGATTTTATGTAAAGTGTTAAAGTACAAATGTGTACAATAAATATATTTTAGAATTTATTTATTAAAATAAATAATTTTAAAATATATTAAGAATATAGACATTTTGACAAGATAAGAAAGTAATATTTTTCATTTAAATTAATTATACTGTTTCTTATATTTGCAAATGAAATTAATTTTTTAACTATATAAACCATAAAGAAAAATTTCTATTTTTTTAAATTTATATCAATATCTTAAATTTTTTTATTATGATATTTTTTAATAATTTTAATAATTATCTATTATGGAAAAATTATATTACAATTACAAAAGATAAAATTAAAAAATTAAAAATGAGTTAAAATAATAAGATTTGTTATTTTTGATAATAATGAGGTAAAATAAAAAAATAAAATCATCAATTATTCTGGAGTTTATATTTTGTACATTAGCATATTGATAACGAAATGTCATAAATATTACATCAGAAAATTGTACGAAATCGTATATATTGCACAATATATATGTACGTGGAATAACCGCACATGTGTCCATTTGCTGTGATGTTCACGATTGCAATTTTACAATATAATAGTAACAAATAGTAATGTATTCTTTATTGTTTGTGATACCTTAATCTAATATTTATTTAAGAAATACTTTAACTTTTCATATATAATAAATCAATAGTAATTTGTAATTTTTTTATATATATAGAAATATATTATAAATAAAATGTGTGGAATTTGGGCTCTTTTTGGATTAAATGTATCATCTTTAACTAATATTTGCAATAATTTTGAAAAAATAGCACACCGTGGTCCAGAGGCATTTAAACTTGAATTTGATTATGCAATTAAGGTATAATTTTATGAAAAAATTTTCAAATAATTATATTTTTACTAATATACTATAAATAAATTTTTATATTGTTCATTTGTAGAATGGTTATTTTGGATTTCATAGATTAGCAATTGTGGATAATCTTTATGGTATGCAACCAATGAGACTTCATCAATATCCACATTTATTTTTATTATGTAATGGTGAAATTTATAATTGTAAAAAGGTAATATTTCTCGTTTTTTATTTAAAAATAATTTTAATTTCATTTAATTATTTTACTTATTATAACAAATTGTTACTTATATAACAAATTAAAATTTATAGCTTGGTTTAGAATATGGATTTACATATATTACTCAATGTGATGTCGAGGTGATAATTCATTTATATGCACATCTTGGTATTGAAAATGTGACCAGGATGCTTGATGGAGTTTTTGCATTTTGTTTAATGGATATTAAAAATAAAAGAATTCTTATAGGTAGAGATCCTTATGGTATTAGGCCTCTTTTCAAATTAAGTTCTGATGATGGACAATTAGCAGTTTGTTCAGAAAGCAAGGTATCAAATTAAATGATTTATTTTTATATGAAATAAATGTATATAACATTGAAATTTTTATTTAGGGACTTATAGAAATAATTAAACATATATCTTCAAAATTAATATTAAAACCATTTCCACCAGGACATTATGAAGAATATGAAATTTTAAATGATGGTAGAACAAAATTATTAAAAAGTGTAAACTATTATCAACCTGGAGACAAACCTTGTTTTCAACCTTTTGTTCCTTATAATAGTTTGTTAAAAATATATTTATTATGTAATATAATATTTATAAGTTTTAAATGAATGAAATAATATAATAAATTATATTTCAGGTTTGACTAATACAGATATACATGGAAATATAAGAAAATTACTTTCAACTGCTGTTCAGAAAAGATTAATGTCTGATAGAGAAATTGGTTGTTTATTATCAGGAGGCTTGGATTCAAGTTTAATAGCTGCTTTACTTGTAAAACATGCAAAAGATGCAAATTTATCATATAAAATAAAAAGTTTTGCAATTGGTATGGGAGATAGTCCAGATATTATTGCAGCTAGACAGGTTAAATAATAGTTTTATATTATGATCCAATATTTTGATTAATAATTAAATATAATAATATTTATTAGGTTGCAGAATATATAGGAACTGAACATCATGAAATAATCTTTTTTCAAAATGATGTAATTGATATTTTAGACAAACTTATTTATCAGTTAGAGACTTGTGATATTACTACAATTCGAGCTTCTATTGGGTAAATTATATTTTACTAGTGAAATATTTTATAATTATAATAATTTTAAATAATAAAAAAATAAATAAATAAATAAATAAATAAATAAATAAATAAATAAATAATAATTAATAAATAATTAATAATGTAGCAAATATTAGTATAATATAATTGTAGTAAATATTAATTTTATTTTATTTTTTATATAGTATGTATCTTGTCTCAAGATATATCAAGCAAAATACAGCAACAACTGTGATATTTAGTGGAGAAGGTGCTGATGAATTAGCACAAGGATACATTTATTTTAGGGATGCACCAAATCCAATAGAAGCTCATAATGAATCTGTACGATTATTAAAAAATATATATTTATATGATGGTTTGAGAGCAGATAGAACAACTAGTGCATTTAGTTTAGAATTACGAGTTCCATTTTTAGATATTCAATTCACAAATTATTATTTATCATTGGATGCTGCTTCTAGACAACCTCAAGGTATGATATTATAAAAAAAACTAAGAAGATTAAGATTAATAAATTAAAATATAAGTTCAATATAGGAGGAATTGAAAAATACTTATTGAGATCTGCTTTTAATGATACAAATCTTTTACCATCAAATATATTATGGAGACATAAAGAAGCTTTTAGTGATGGTGTAACATCAATTAAGAAATCACTTTTTCATGTTATACATGATATTGTAAATGCTTGTATATCAGATGAAGAATTACAAAAAGCTCATTTGAAATTTCCACATTGTATTCCAAAAACAAAAGAAGCTCTTTATTACAGGTATAATATTTAAACATTATTACATTATATATAGTTTTATATTTTATAAATTAATATTAAATATTAGTATATAAAAAATATATTAACATTTCAGAAAAATTTTTGAGAAATATTATGAAGGACAAGCTGAAAGTTTTGTACCATATTTTTGGATGCCACAGTGGATAAAAGGAATTTCTGATCCATCCGCAAGATTTATTATACATTATGCAGCAGATATAAAAAATAATCAAAAAGAAAATGAAAAGAGATTAAAAGTATAAAAACTGATTAAATTAAATATATAAATTATATATATATATAAATTTATAATTTAAAAAAAAGTATAAAGTAATTTGTAAAAAAAAATGTACATATATTATTTATGTTGTAATACAATAAATATTTTAATAATAAGATGTTTGTGTAAATATATGTTTATTTTATTTTTATTAATTCTTGTATTGTTATTAGAAATATTCTAGAAAATAATAACAAAAAATATAAATATTGTAACAAAAAAAATGAAACGCATGATTTTACCCCTGGTGGGACTCGAACCCACAATCCCCGGTTTAGGAGACCGATGCCTTATCCATTAGGCCACAGGGGCTGTTGAATAAGTTTTCTTATATCTTTAAATTACTATACAAAAAATTAGAAATAATTAAAAAATTATATTAATAAATATATATTATATAAATACTATTTTTTGACAATATTTATATTTATTGTTATAAGTAAATATATCATAAACTAATAAGAAATCAATAATACAGATATTATTGCTAAATTCCAAGATGGTGACATATATTTTATAGTAAAATCACTGTATATTTTTTTCAATCAATTTTAGAGTGCAATTTAGTTAAATAGTTGCAATTTAAATTGGATTAACAAAAATATTTTCTGTAAAGTAAGTTGGAATATATGTAATATTCTGTTTATTTTTAAAATAAGTTAAGTTTTAATAAAATTAAATATTCATAATAAATATATAGTTAAAAATGAAAAATATTATACATTTATAAATTCTATTTATTTTTTTAAATTTTATAGATGATGTCAACAAGATATATTTCATTTATATCTGGAATAATAATAGCCTCGTTAACTTGGACTTTTAGTTTATATCTTTATTCGAGACTATCTCAAAATACTAACACTATTAATCCAACAATGATAGTGTTAGAAAATTCAAAATTAGGAAAAGAATTCGAATTTTATCGTAAAATATACACTAATAAAGATTTAAGAGTACATAATAATTTAATTATTCACCATAATAAAGAAAATGCAATAGATAAAAATATTTATAATTTAAAAGGAAATAACTTTAAAAATAATGATAAAATGCTACAACAATTAAGATCTGTATCAATAAAATCTGCTGTTACATTAAAACAAGGTATATTAAAAAATTAATGTTTGTTTTAATTTTTCAATATATTATGTTTTAATATTATTATTTATCAAATATTAATATTAAATATAATTGTTTCTATTAAAATTTTATTTAATTTTAAAAGAACCAATCTAATTTCATTGAAGATTTATTTATAGGTTTAGATGAACTAGGAATGATTAAAAATTTAGATGATCAACGAAAACGAGATGAAGGATATAAAAATTACTCTTTTAATATATTAGTGTCAGATAATATTGGATTACATAGAGAATTACCAGATACAAGACACAAATTATGTGAAATACAAAAGTATTCTTCTAAGTTATCAAATGCTAGTATTGTTATATGTTTTTATAATGAACATTATATGACACTTTTAAGATCTTTACATTCCATTATTGATAGAACTCCTACAAATCTTTTACATGAAATTATTTTAGTAAATGATTGGAGTGATAGCAAAATTTTACATGAAAAAATTAAAATATATATTGCTAATAATTTTAATGGTAAAGTGAAATATTTTAAAACTGAAAAACGAGAAGGTTTAATCAGAGCGAGAATATTTGGTGCAAGAAAAGCAACAGGAGAAATTTTAATTTTCCTAGATAGTCATATAGAAGTAAATAGGCAATGGATAGAACCTCTTCTTTCACGAATTGTTTATTCAAAAACTATTATTGCTATGCCAGTTATTGATATTATTAATCCAGATACATTTCAATATACTGGTAGTCCTTTGGTAAGAGGTGGTTTTAATTGGGGATTACATTTTAAATGGGATAATGTACCAATTGGTACATTTGTGCATGATGAAGATTTTATAAAGCCTATAAAGTAAGAATACATATATATATGTATATATATATTAGATATATTTAAATTTATAATAATTTTCTGTTATGTACATGTTAGTAATTGTTACTAAATAGATCTCCAACAATGGCTGGAGGTTTGTTTGCAATGAATCGAGAATATTTTACAAAATTAGGAGAATATGATGCTGGTATGGATATCTGGGGTGGTGAAAATCTTGAAATATCATTTAGAGTAAGTTAATAATCATTTAATCATATATTGTTTAGTTTAATAATAATTTATAATAAATATTTTTCTTTCAGATTTGGATGTGTGGAGGAAGTATTGAATTAATACCATGTTCAAGAGTTGGACATGTATTTAGAAAAAGAAGACCATATGGAGCATATGATCAACATGATACAATGTTAAAAAATTCATTACGTGTAGCACATGTTTGGCTAGATGAATATAAAGATTATTTTTTACAAAATATTAAAAAAATTGATTATGGCGACATTACAGAAAGAATAAATTTGCGAAAGAAATTGGCGTGTAAAAATTTTGCATGGTATTTAAAAGTAGTATATCCCGAATTAACTTTACCAGATGATAATAAAAATAAATTAAAAGATAAATGGGCAAAAATTGAACAGAAACCAATACAACCTTGGCACTCTAAAAAAAGAAATTATACTGATCAGTATCAGATTAGATTATCTAATTCAACATTATGTATTCAAAGTGAGAAAGATATTAAAACAAAAGGTTCCAAACTTATTTTAGCACCATGTTTAAGAATTAAATCCCAGGTGATTAAATATAAATAATAATGTTCTTTAAAATCATTTTTAATTTAAATTGATATTATTAATACATTTTTAAAATTTATTTTAATTTTTTATAGATGTGGTATGAAACTGATAAAAGAGAATTGGTACTTGGTCAAATGCTTTGTATGGAAGGAGCTGAGAAAATTCCAAAACTTGGAAAATGCCATGAGATGGGAGGCAATCAAGAATGGCATCATAAAAAAACTGTATTTATGAGTTTTTTGATATTTATAATTAATTTACATATATATTACATATATTGATACATATAATCATATCTTGTTTAGAATAATACACCTATATATAATATGGCAGCTGGTACATGCTTGGGAATATTGCGAGGAGCAAAAAGTATTCAAATTATAATGGATTTATGTACTAAATCAAATACAAATTCAATATCTTGGGATTTGATACACTTTAAAATTCTTTTAAAAGAAATTAGGTGACATCAAATAAAAGAAATATAGTTATAAAAACAAATTAAAAGAGCAGCTCTCTAAAACAAAATAAAAGTAAAGAATTAAACTCATGAATTTTTATGGAAATTTGTGATGTAAAATAGATTATTATAAAAATTTTAGAATTTTTATATTATATGTTTTTATACTCTTTTACATTATAAGAATAAAATGATATGTGATTATTAATCAAAATCTAAAAAAATAACGAACGAATTTCTTTTTAAAAATTTTTTAGTTAATTTATTTTTTAGTTAATTTTAAATATATATTTTCAAAGTAATGTAATGTTTATTATAATTAATACTGTTTAATCAAGAAAAGAAATTAATTTCTTTTAAAGTAATATATATTATAATAGTATAAGTATTTCTATTTGTATATATACATTCATATCTTTGTATTCTCTANTTTTTATATAAAAAATAAAAAAATCAAATTATTTTGATTGATTATGTATTTTACTACATATCATAATAGAATGTATATACAAGCAAATATAGCTTTAATATTTTAAAATAAATTAAAAAAAATTTCTAATATATTTATTATTCTAAATATGTAACAACTATTATGTTATATGAATCCAAATAATATCAAAAAATTTAAGTGTAATATAATATAGATGTGAATATTGATATTGAAATTTAAGAAAAGATTTTTTATTCTTGTTGATTTTATTTTAATAATTAAATTAATAATTCATATATAAAAATTTTTTTCACAGTCGGTATTTCAGAATACGAAATACAAAATCCTATAAAATCAGATATCTATTCTGTATATTATCTATGATTGAATATATAATATATGATATACATATGTGTATAATTATCTTATATATCAATATAATAATTAGTGTTCAGTGTTTAACGTATATTAAATATATTAATTCTTTTTAAAGAATTATTGAAAGAAAAAAGATAAATTAATTTATATATAATCTATATAAAATTTTATTGAAATACAATGATTAATAGCATAATTAAATTGAAGATATTGTGGTAAAAATAAAAATAAAAACAATAAGTTTAAAAGTCAAAAATTATTCAAATTAAAAATATTTAATTGATTATAATATTTGAAACTTATTCAAAAATGACAACTTCAAAAGAATTAAATTTAGCTAGAAAGAGTCTTGTAGCCTCGCTTGGTGAAAATGCAAAAATGTAAAATATATGTTTTAAATTTAAAAATAAAATAAAAATTATAAATTTAAAATATTTTAATTATAAATAAAACATTATAATTCAGAATTTCTAATAATTTTAAGCTATTGTAATTGTTCCAATTTCTTATTTATTTCATTATTAATTTTTTATTTATTTAAAAAAAAAATAATTTTCAAATATTATTTAAAGAATTTTATTTTGTTGACAGATACTTTGAAAAGATGAAACTTTGGTTTCAGATGAAGGTATTAATATTATTATAAAATTTAATATTTTAAAAATTTATAACATTATTATTATATTATTAACATTATCATTTATTAAATGTTATAATTATAGACAACGAAAGAAGAATTTGATTGTGAAGCAAGAAATATTATGACAGAAGATCAAGTTCATCTTCATAATGAATTTCTTCTTTGTTTATTTAATAAAGTTAGAGGTTTAGCTGCTGCAACACCTACACGAAAATTAGATCGAGATAAAGCTATAAAAGAAAAGAGATTAAGATTAAAACGTAAATATAAAACTGATAAATCAAATTTTGAGGTATAAAATAATTATTTAGTTAATTAATTTTTATATAATTAATGTTGGATATATAAACTATAATTTTTTTATATTTGTTTTATATTTAGCCTGCAGATATGTATGTTGAAGTCTTAAGTCAAACTTCATCACCTGTTGGAGATGAGCCTATTGGAGCCAATCGTTCTAGTGCTCAAGAACTTGTTCTGCCAGATAGAACTTTTGTTTTAGCAAGATTAATGTTAGCAGCATGGGAAAATAATATGGATGGAGCAGAAGAAAATACTGCACATATAGTTATTGCAGCTACACAGATTTTTCTAAAAAATATACTTACAGCAATATTTACAAGAAGAAAAGGATATGCTATTAGAGATGGTTCATTTATTTATAATATTGGAGAACCAGTACCTAGTTCATGGAAAAGAAATTCTACTCATATATTAAAATCATCAGATTATACTGCAACAGAAATAATAGATCCTTATGGTCAAGTTCCTATGATAAAACCAAATATTGAAGAAGCAGAACAAGCTACAGCTTTTGCTTATGCATGTTCTCCACAAATTATTCCACCTTCATTAAAACCTGTTAATACAGCTGATTTACAATATACGCTAAAGGTAAAAAAAAATTATAATTACTAAAATTACTTAAATATATATGATATTTAATATTTTATAGTTTTAATATCTTTTTATTTTATATAGATCTATAAAAATCTTGTTAGCAATCATACTATATATGCAACTAATATGGAACGTTTATTTACATATTCTACACATCCAACATGGGAAGACCTTGAAGCTAAAAAATTATCATGTCATCAATATATAATATAAATAATTTGTTTTTCTTATATAAATAGATTACACTTTAAAATAATTATTTAAAATATATATAAACTAAAAATTTAGGTTTATATTTTTTAATAAAATATACTTTGTTAATAAAATGAATTGTAAATTAATTTAAGATATATAATTATATCTTTTCAATATTTTTTCTTTTCATAAATTTTATGTTTATTTTCTTAACTGTAAATATTTTTTTATTATTCTATTATTAACATAATATACTATAGATATTGAAAAATATAATTATATATTTATCTAGAGATTTACAAAATGTATAGAAATTTATTATATTATGTAATATGAATGAAAATCGAGTTTGTTTTATATCGTTTTATTTTCAATTATTTATATTCTTATAAAGTTTAAAATACGTATTTAGTCTTAAGAATGATATGAGAAATTTTTCACATTTTTATTTACATTCTAATTTGAAATTTTCCAGCTTTAGTAATATATTTAACACCTTTGAATGGTTTATATTTTTCTCCATACATATCTAATCGATTAACTTTTAAACCAGAAACTGCCAATTGATTAATTGTAAAATGAACCTAAAATAAAATAATTTTTTAACTTTATCTATGTAATAATAATATAAAATACTCATATAAAATATCCATACATTAATGGCAGGATTAGATTCCATTGTACTGGCAGAATTTTGAACAGTAATCTAAAAAATTATTTTTTATTTATTATTATTATTTATTATTTTTTTTTTAGTAATCTCTGCATATTTTTTTTTAAATTTTAAAAGATTAATTGTAATTTTATTATTATTGTTATACCGAGCCTCTTAAATTAGGTAATTTAGAAACATCTATTCTTCCAATATCCCATAATAGTATTTTGCTAACAGGATCAAATGAATATTTTCCTTGGTTTGGAGTCAGTGTACAATTTAAAACTATTTTTGGCATAGGAATTTCTAATGTTACATTTTCTACCTAAAATATATGTAATGTCTTAAATTTATATTAATTTTCATATTTTAACATAGAAATAAAATATATATATACAGTTCTGCCAATGGTTTGTTTTGGTCCAACAGTTATATCTAATCTGCCACCTCCTAATTCTTTGAGGCTTATATTATGCCTTACATATATTGGAATTGCCACAATACTTTGTGATCCTATATGATAAGAAAGAAGACGAAAATTACCATCTGGTGGAATAAAAGAAAGTATTCGTTCAGACTGGAAAAAAAATATTTTGTTAATAAATTAGTAAGTTTAAATATTTATTTATTCTTACCTCCCATCGTTTGAATCTAACACAAGGATGAAAACTAACATCATCAAATAATCTAGGATTCATGAAGGAAAGTGTTAAATCTGGCATACCACTTAATTTTATACAACAGTCAATCTATAATTTAAACAATATATTGCAAATATTCTTATCAATATAATTATCATATCTTATCATATTAATATTAATTACATTAGACAAAAAACATACATAGCCTTGAATTTCTGCAAATACAGTTGCACCAGTTCTATCAATAATAGCATCAACTTCTTCCACAACATCAAAGTATGCTTCATTATTTGTATATTTAACACCAGTACGTCTCCAAGGAACATTGGATAATTGTCCACTTGGTAATGTTGCACTAACACTATATATTTATATATGTATATAGAATTAAATATAATTTATAATTTTTATATTTTCATTCAAATATATTTAATTAACATACTTAGATTTTCCTGTAACAGTATTTGCAATAGTTCTTAATATATTTGGTGGTTTAATAAGTTCTTTCAAAATATTAGATTCTGTGGCTAATGGAAAACCATTGTCCAACATTTCATCCAATAATTCATAGACAACCACATAATTTTCTTTTATAATAGTTTCTGTACATTCACTAAAATAATCTTCAAAAGTATCTACTACTCTATGTAAAAATTCTATTACAAATAATGGTGGAACTAATACAAAAATGTAAAACAAAAATAATATTTAGAATAGAATTTGTAATTAATATAAATTTATCATTTACATTTTAGTAAATACCTTCTGTCATACATACTGCAACAAAAAACATATTACAACGATATATACTAATAAGATAATGATGAGGTGTAGCTATTACAGGTGGTGTATCTTCAGGAGATAAAACTCTTCTTTGTTGATCAAAAAAATAGTCACATAATGATCGTGCCACTGCACTTTTCCAATGCTTTTCCATAAAAACATCTCTAAGAATAATATTAATAAATATTATTAATATTTAATTTTATTTAATTACATTAGAAAACACTAAAAATATTAAAATAAAAAATTAAAAATATAAAATATTTCTTAAATATGAATAAAAACTTTAGATATTATACAATAAACATATATTATATATATTATTACAAAATCATATGCATTTAACCAAATAGCTATTAAATATTAAATATATTTTTTTCTTTTGATTCATACTTACCCTGACGAATTAATAATAAAAAGACTATGTATCATTTTTTATAAGAAATTATTTTAGACAAATTAATATTTAAAATTATTTGCCAACTTTATTTTAATATTCTACATATACTTGACATATGGTTCTGTATTTACAAATTAATACTAACACTCGTGCATCATGAACCTACATTTATAAGCTGCATGTATAAATTGCATGCTGCATGTAATAAAGAAGATAGCTATGTGCACAGAAAGATATTTTTATTAGTGAAATCTTGGCGTAAAATAAACACGAATAATAAAATACATAATAGTTAATTAGTCTAATAAATAAATATAACGTTTAAAAATTAATTAAAAATAATTATAATTTTTATAAAATTTGGTTACATATCATTAATTATCTTTCATTTTAAATTTGTACTTTCGTTATTATTAATTCAATAATGGAAGAAATTACAAAGAATTGGATGGATATAGAAAACGATGGTAATTTATTATATGTTATATATTATTTATATGTCATTCGTTTAATTATAAAATTGAAAATATTCTTTTATTAATATTTTAAATTAATATTTTTTCAGACTTTTTTAAACAATTTTTTAATGATGAATCCAAAAAAAATGATATTAATCAAATACTATCAGTAGCACAACAAATAAATAAATTAGGACAAGGTAAATAAAAAAATTATCTCTTATACAATATTATGATATATACAATATATTTTTTTGCCATAGCTATTGAAATCTTGAACACAGAATTACAAAAGCAAGTATTAGCCAATCATGAAGATTTATTATCACAAGCAACTTGGGTAGAAAAATTAGAAAGTGTGCTTTCAATAATGCAATTACATGTTCAGGTATGTATGTAACATAAATGCATTCTTAAATATGAAGAAAAATATAAATTATTTTAAATGAAAAATATATTTTATTTAATTATTATTAGTTATTATACATATATTTATTATTGATATAGATATTAATAAAAATGAATATTTATATTCTAGAGTCTTTTGTCAGCTGTAGAACGTTTACGTGGAAAAATTATTGACCCTTTCAATAGAATTGAGACTCAGACAATTGTCTTAGCAAGACTTCATGAAACTTCTGACTTGTTACGAAGAGTAGCCAGAATGCAACATTTATCAAAACGTTTATGTTCTCAAATGACAAATAACATGCAAGGTCCAGATATTATAAAAGCTGCAAATAGTCTTCATGAACTTGGTATTAATTTATTTATAATTTTTATTTCATGACATTACAAAATATACTGTTTATAAGAGAAATATAATAATCTAAATTTATAGAACATTTGATGATGGATACAGATTTAAATGGATTAGATGTTATTGCTGATGATCAACAAGTTATAAAATCTCATAGAACAACAGTACAAAGAATAGCAACTCATACTTTATCCCAAGGATTACAAACAATGGATAGAACTAAAGTATATAAGAGTATATTTTATATTAATTAGATATTATTATTTTTTATAATTATTAATTATAATTTGCAACAAATAGGTTAGTACAGCTGTACAAGTATTTCAAAATCTGAGAATTATAAATGGAGCTATAGATAATGTTATAGATACTGCTTTATCTGAAATTGAAAAAATTGCTACAGAATCATTAGATGTAACTTTAACAACAAATCAAGATCTTGGAAAAAGAGCAGCACCTGGACGAGCTGCTATTCCTTCTCCAGGATCTTCTGGAAATTTACGCACTCGAATCTGGGAAAATCTTGAAAGACTTTTTCAAGATACTCTTTACACACATTGTTTACAAGTAATTAATAAACATTTATTTTGTTTTCTTGAATTCTGAATTTGACTATAGAGAATATTATATTTTCATTTGAATCGTTACAGTGCATTATCAGTTGTATTATTTATATTATTATTATATTATATTATTATAGATTGAATTATTACAAAGAATACTATTAGAATATCATACAAAGGGATTAGATGAATTATCACAAAAATTTTGGAATAGTGTGAATTGTCTACTTTCAAAAGTATTAATTGAACGTACACAAGGTAAATATCAATCATATTATTCTTTTAACGAAAAATTTATCTTATTTATATTTTAAGGATCATCATTTGTAAAACAAGCATTAGAAGGCGAATATCCAAAATTTTTAAGAATATTTCTTGATTTAAGAAAACGTTTAAAAGAGCGATCACAGAGTATTGGTATTTACAAAATTAAGTAAATAAAAATATTTAATTAGATTTATTATCTAGTTTATTTTATGTAATGCAAATAATATATTTATATTTTTTTAGTCATGATATATTATTACCATTTGAAAATGCATATTTATCTCGATCAGTATCACGTTTATTAGATCCAGTACATACTATGTTTTCTGGAGAAGGATTGCCAACACAAGATGAAATTGATGGTCTTATACGAACAATAACAAAGTAATTTAAAATAATACATACATATATTCAAATTCAATTATAACTTAACTCAATAGATAATCACATTTGTAATTATTATAATTATTATAATTATTATAATTATATATCAATATTAATATCAAACTTCATTACAGTGAATTAAGTGTATCATTGGTTGATGATGGTCTTTCAACAGTAGTTGCTCGTAATGTAGGAAAAGCTATAAGATTGTTTTGCTTAAAATGTGAACAAGGATTACTTGTGGGTGGAGAAGCTAGTCAAGTAATCGATTCTCCAACCACTGTTCAACAGACAAATGTATCTCTTGCAAACCTACTTTATTATCTTTCTAGTCAAATAACTCGTGTAATAGCAAATTTATCTGGTCTCCCATCTGAAGGAAGTTCAATAATTTCTATAGCTCTTAAAGAAATAGATTTATTAACAAAAAATATATTATCGCCATTATTGGCTTCTATTAATGATGCAATTGAAAGTATTATTTTAACTATGCATGATGATGCAGAATTTCGAGAGTAAGTGAATATGTTATCATTTCAAAGAAAATTTTAAAATGATTAATTAATGATTCATTTAAATATGTATATATATATATATATATATATTTCTTTTATACAGTCCAAGTAGCCCATTAGGCAAGGAAATTAATTGTTCGCTCTATATGCGTGAATTGCAAGGATTTATTTTACGTTCTGTAAATACATTTCTTATTCCATATAAAAATCAAACAGTAGTTGCTGAATGGTAATTAAAAAAATTATTACAATTTTTATATTATATTCTAATTTATATTCTAAATGTAATAAAAATTGTTTTTTTAGTTGTAAATCTGTTGCTTCGCGTTGTATTGAACTTTTTGTAAGACATGCTTGTTTGTTAAGACCATTAACTGATTTTGGAAAAGCTAAACTCATTATTGATTTTAGTCAGGTATGTTAAAATATATAAAATGTTGAAATTATATATTATATTTAAGTTTAAATTTTTTTTATTTTTTAATTTTTAGATAGAAATAGCTGTTGCTTTATTATGTAGAGGAGGACAATTGGGATCATCAGAACAACAACAATATAGAACATTGCGAGCATTAAAAGCATTGCTTCCACTTAATGCTGATGAAATTGTACAAAAGGTTTTAGAAGGAGAAGGAGATTGTGGTGTACCTCCTTCCCTTATTCTTTTACATTTATTTTCTATTGCTCCATCTGAATTAGAATCTCCACATCAGGTATATATATATTCATTTATATTTTTATTATTAATTTTTAATTATTTAATGAATTATCTTGAATTTGAGATGTTAATCATTATTAATTCATTGTTATTAATATAGAGTACAGGTTGGTCTGTAAGCCGTTTATCTCAGTGGATGGATAAGCATCCAAATGAAAGAGATCGATTAGCTTTTTGTAGTGGATCGTTGGAACGTTATCAATTAACAATTAGACAACAGAATCTTCCAACATTCCATCCATTATTTCCATTAATGAAAAAATTAGTCAATTTAAATGAACACCAAAATTTGTGAAATTTATACTACATAAAAAATACATGTATGTATTTTAATAATTATTTTCTATATTCATAAAAAATAATATTACAAATAATTTATTAGTGAAATTGAAAAAAAAAATATTAAAAATTATACATAAAAATTCTAAATAAGTACAATTATATTTTTAATGATGTATTAATTTTTGAATGCAAATTGTTTTAGATACATAAACTCCTATAATTAATGTAATGCTTAAAAACAACATAGGCCAATTTATTTTATATTTTTTTGGACCAATATATGCTGCTGGCATACCAATATCATTATTTTTTTCTTGAATCTATATTAATAAAATATATATTAACATTTTATTATAACATTTATTTTGAATGAAATTATTATTAAATAGTATCTTATAGTATTTTACCTTTTTAGAAAGTATTTTTACTTGCACAAGTTCTTTTTTTAAAGAACTAAGAGTTTTTTGAGTTTTTTTAAGTTCTTGCTTGTAATTAAATATTTGTTTTTTAGTTAAATATATATTTTCATTATTTGCTTTTAATAAACTGTTTTTAATATACTGAAAACTAGAACCAATAATAGCAATTTGTTTAGATACTATACCTAATGAAATTACACCATCATATAATCTGAAAAATAAATATACAATTAAATTTTTATTATTAAATTTTAAAAATTATAGTATTATGTAAATAACGTATGTAAATAACGTACGTATAAGGTAACGATTTATTGATAATACCAATACTTTGTATACTCCATTTTTTTCTATGAAATTTATGAAGGCATTCCATAAATTGAATTCTATGTACTTTAATATCCATTCCTAAATGATATAAGTCGTTTTCAGTTAACATTAAAAATTCTGTAAGTTTTATTCCTTGAAAAATATAAGTATATTGTTCTAAACCCATTCCATGTAAAATTGTAAATATATCAAAATCTACAGTTTGATTGTTTATGTTAATTAACGATGGAAACATATCTTTCCAATTACACATTTTAGATATTTGATAAGTAGGTATCGTTTCTGCTTCATCAAAATTCAGTAATGATGATATCTATAATAGTTATATATATTTTATATAATTTTATAAAAATATTGCATTTTACAATAAGATATCATATTTTAACTTACTTTATCATATCCTTTCATAGAAGCTATATCATTTGCAGTTAAATCATTGAAGTCAGTTAATGTGATATCCGCTCTATTCTCTATTAATATTTTGACTATTTCTGGTTTATTAGCTATTGTTGCATACATCAATGCCTAAAAATTATTTATAATTTTATTGTTATACTGTTATATTATAATGTTATATTGTTACAAAAGATTGCTATGATTGCTAAAAGAATTTACAGTTTGTTTTCTATTGTCATATGCATTAATATTTTTTACATATTTAATTAATTCTATTACAAATTTTAATTCTTGTGACATACAAGCATACATTAAGGGTGTTTGTCTGTAAAATATTAAATAATTATAAAAATGATTAAAACATCAATAATATATTGTCTGGAAAATATAAGATATGAACAATACCTTTGTTTATTGCTTGCATTTACATTAGCACCTGCTTCAATTAATGTTATTAAACATTTTATTCGTTGTTCTATTGTTCCTTTATTAGAACTGCATAATGCCATTAATGGTGTATAACCATCTAAAATTTTATATTATTATTACATCTTATATTATTATATTATTATTACATCAGGATATTATATAAAGTGATAAAAAATGTATTCAAATTGAAAGTATAAAAACCTTTATGCTTATTGACATCAGCTTTATTGTTTACAAGATATTTAATAACGTCTAATTGTGCACTAGATGTAGCATATAAAAGTGGAGTCCATCCATTGTATAAAAATTTATTTATATCATATGCTATATATAATTGCATAAAATTATTTAAAAAATATATTAATTTTTAATATATTAAAAATATATTTCAAATTAAAATATTTTAAATTATTATAATATTTATATATATATAATATTTAATTGTAATATTTAAAATATTATTATCTTAAAATTTATAATAAAATATTATAATTTATATAATATTATAATTAATATAAAGAATAATTACATTCAAGATATTCATTAATAATTTCTAATTGACCCATTGTACATGCATTAATTATACGATATTCAATAACTTGTTCCTCATCAATATCCATATTTTTATATTGATGAAATATTTCGTTTTTCAATACTAAACTTTTTTAGTATAAAAGTATAATTGTTTCTATATAATACAAAATATAAAATATAAAATATTTTGTTATTAAATAAAATTTTATTTCAGATTAATTTAAACATTAATTATTTTTATAGACAAATATTAAAATATTGATTACTTATACATTTCTTCAGAAAAGAAAAAATTACCACTTTTTATTTTGCTATCAAAAATTTGAATAATTCTTATACATTATTTATTATTATTTTAATATTTATTTAATACTATAATAATTATAATATATAAGGTTATATATTTTTAATTTAACTATACAGTCTTAATTATATGTTCAAAAATGATTAAAATTTTATGTGCATAAAATACATGAAAATATATTAAATATAAAATATATTATTATTGATAATCGAAAGGAATGCAGATTTGGTTGATTTCAATAGATTTAACATTCAAAAAAAAGCTCTTTACATTGGTCAAAAGTATCACATCTCTAGATAATATTATGTATTTGTGAAAATAAATGTACTTCGAATTCTATTTTGATCTTATGGCTCTTTGATATACAATTTAGTAATAGTATTATATATAATTTATATTAACTCAATTTAATTTTTAATATATGATGAAAATAAATTTAGAAACAGAATTCGAATTTTTATTATATTTATATTGTAGTTTCCCCCGATTCGATGAAATATTTGTTTATAATAATATATATTTTTATTGAAAATGAATGAAAAAATTATAACAGTGCAATAAATTATATATAATTTGACAAGATGTGTTATATATTTATATTAATTAGTTAAATTTTTTATATTATTTATGTCTAGCATAATTATTTAATGATAAAATTATTAAAATCTAAAATAAAAATTTTTAAATATATATAATTTACTATTATATTTTATATATAAATTACACAGAAGATAAATATATTTTCATGAAAATAAGCAATTGAATTTTATTACTATTCTTAAATTTTAAAAATGAAAAATATATAAATAACTATAATAATATCTAAATAATAATATCTAAATAATATCTAAATTAATTAATTTTATAAAAAATTTTGTAAGTTTATTAGTAAAAAGTGATTAATTATTCAAAAAATATTATATAAATAAACATATCATTAAATAAATAAATAAATATATCAAAATTTAAGAAAATAAGATATGTAAAAAATATACAATATTATATTTTATATATATTATATGTTTATATAATATATTTATCTATATATAAAAGAAGAAACAACGAATTTGCATCTATTATTTATTATCTTATCTTGCTTAATCTTTAAGTGTCAGTTGTCCATTTATTGGACATCTGCTAAAAATTTAATTGTAGGTTATCCATTTATATTTCGTACTGCTTAACCTGTTAGTCATCTGATATCTGGTACAGAATCCGGTTGTAAATTTTTTCTTATTTATAATTTACATTGTTAAATTAACAATTTCATGCATGTTTAAGAATTTATCTAATAGTAAGTAAAATGTATAATTCATAAGTAACTATATAATATATATGTAATATCTATCATTAAAACAATTTTTATAATTATTTAAATATAAATATTATTATACAATATTGTGCAATCTTATTTAATATTAATAACAAAAATACGAATTTCATCTTGTGAATTAAAATCTATTAAAAATTAGACAATGAAAGAAAAAATATAAAAAAAACATGCAAAATTAACAAAAAGTATTATTATAAAAAAATTTTTTAAAAATATTCAGATTGAATAATGTAATTAATTAAAATCGCGTGCATTTATAATTTATTTAAATTTTAATAGATGCATCGATCTGTACTCGTGGCATTTGACTTTGATCATACAATTACCGATGATAATACTGATATCGTGGCTCGAAACCTGTTACCTAAGGAAAAAATAACAGACAGCGTGAAGAATTTGTATCGTTCTAGTGGTTGGATCGCATATATGGCGAAAATATTTGAATTGCTCCATAATAATTCCATCGATATAAAACAAATCAAAACTGCTATTGTTAATATACCTCCTGTATCGGGTATTGAAACTCTACTAAAAGAATTATATGTTCGAGGGTACGAAATTATTATTATTAGTGATTCAAATACATTCTTTATTAACGAATGGTTAAAAAACAGAAATTTAAATAATATTATTACTCAAATATTTACAAATCCTGCATATGTCGGTGATGATGGTATGATAAAATTAGACATGTACCATGTTCAAAATTCTTGCAAATTGAGCACTGTTAATTTATGTAAAGGACAAATTTTGGAAGATTACATTAAAAAAAGAAACAATGAAAACATATATTTTGATCGAATAATATATATCGGAGATGGAAAAAATGATTTGTGTCCCATTTTACGACTTTCGGAACGTGATATTGCATTTCCACGAGAAGATTATGTACTCATGAAAATATTAAACAGTACTGAAAATAATCAAATTCCAAAAATAAATGCACGTGTATTTCCATGGAGCGATGGTATACAAATTTTAAAAAAATTAGAGGAAGAAATTGGATTTTAATCTTTTTTATAATTTAAAGAGTAGTACGAATAAAGTATTCATATTCTTCTTATATCAACAATTAAAGATCAAATAAGTCAATAGATTAAAATATTTATACTATTATTAGTAATTAATGTCATGATTTCCTTTAAAAATAATATATACATATATATAACTTCTCTTTTTCTTTCTTTTTCATTTTCTTTTCATGTTTTAATTTAATAGAAAATTTTGATTGCATAATACATAAAATAAAAATAAAATAAAATAAAATAATAATAATAAAGATTGATTTATATTTAATATATATATATATATATATATATATATGTGTATAATTTAATATATTTTTTTTATGTAAACATCATTCTGTGTATTTTATATAATGAAATTATATTATTTATATGCAATGTATGCAATTTAAAATTAAAATTTTAATTATTTAGAAAAAAAAAGATTCATGTGAAATTTTATAATTATTATTTATAAATATGTATAATTCAAATATGATAAACAATTTAATAATGATTGAATTATTAAAAATATTTTTCATAAAGAATTATTTTTAATATAATGTGAAAATATGGATTATATAAAATGTAAAAATAAAAAATAAATTAATTTATTATATAGAAAATAAAATATTTTCTCAAATTTAAAACATTAAATTTTATAACAATGGAAAATATGTTATTTTATTTTTTTTCAATACTTAATTTTAACATGCGCGCGCATTGTTAAAGTTAGGTTGAAGTTATGACGTACGCGATATGTGCAATGTAGTTGCGCGTCTCTAACATTAATTATTATCTTATTATTGCTTGCGGGCGTCGGCAAAAAATTTATTTTTGTTTTAAATATATTTTATTATAAAACAGAAAAATATGAATCATTAATTATAATTTAAAATTGAAATTTTTATTTACGATTTAAAGTAACAGTATATAAACTACAAATTAGTGTTTTAGCTTTGGTAAGAAACTTTAGACTTGCATAAAATTGTATTACTTGTATACTGAATTATAATTATGAAACGATAATCAATTAAAACGTAGCAAGGATAAAACTATTTATTTTTCAACAATGTAATACATTATAATGAAAAATTTTGATAAAATAATATTTTAATTAAATTTAGATAATTTCACTTAAGTATTAATAAAAAATATTATAACACCATTTATGTGCATAACCAAAAATATATATTATATATAATATATTATATATAAATATATATTAAAAATTATATATTATATATAATATATATTTTAATATAATAAAATGTTTTTAATCATTTAAATAATTAGATAATTAAATATAGTTCAGATTTATGTAATAGGATGAATACTATTTGTTTTTTTATTATTTATATTCTTCTCTTGAAGTTTTATCATTTTAAGATTGAAGATATTCCGTAAAGTATTAAATGAAATACCTGTTAAATATGTTACATTTAATAACCATTCTGGTATGTATAAAACTGTAAATACTTTCATTAAACATTCAAAAAATAAAGGTGTCCATAATAATATTCCACAAAGTAAAGACATTTTAATATTATTAAAAAGATGTAACATGTTTTCTATTTGATGTATTATGTTTAATTGTATTCTTTTCTCATGAAATGAAATGTTTTGTTGATTATCTTTGTAATGTTCATTCCAATTTTGTTCAAAATCTTCTTGTTGAGTTTCTATTAGATATAATTTATTAAAATTTATTGATTCTTGAATGTTTTCGTTTAAAAATATAACACCTTTTGAATTATTAGATTTTTTAGAATTCATTGAAATATTACAATGTATATTATTAACTTTATCTGTGGTGTCAGAATTAAAATTGTTTAATTGCATTATATATTTTGCTTTTAAGTTTTTTAGAATAATTTGACATTTCAGTTTACCATATTGCTGTAAAATTGAAGAGAATAAAATTGGCAGAAAATATATTACAAATATTAGTGCAAACAAATGTATCTTTAAAAATTTAGTTGATATAAAACATTTATCCATTACATATTCTTGTATTATCTTTGACTCATTATCATTTTGATAAGTATTGATTTTAATATTTGATAATATATTTTGTTTATGAAAAATTGAATTATGTTGAAAAATTTCCTTTGATTTTAATTTTTTTAATTCTTTTTGTTGCTTTTTATTAAGATGATTTTTATCTTTCTGATAATTTTGTATGTTTTGTTGAGAAATATTATAAATACATTTAAATACATTAACATATATTTGCTCATTTAATATAATTGATGTATTATGTCTTCTAATTGTATTTATAAAATTATCTATAATGTCTTTACTTTTATTAAGACACATTTGTAATTCTTTAAAATTTAATTTTTTTGTGGCATTTATATTATTGTTAACTCTATTGTTTGAAATTTTTTCCTTTAATAAATGTTTTGAAGAATTTGTTATTAAATAATTAAACAATAATTTTTTGTCATCTTTATCAATATAATTATTTATTTGCATATTGTTTTTTAAATTTGTATCATTTTCAATATTATTTATATCAGGTTCACTTTCAACACTCTTATTTTGCTTTATAGTTTTTGTATGAATATCTAATTCAAAATATTTTGTTATATTTAAAAACTCAGAAACATTTTGAGAATTTATATTAGAAGGAATAGTATATGTATCATTCATTACAGAAAAAACAAGATTTTGTACTTTGGATATTATCTCATTTACTTGAGTAATATTAGAAGTTTTCACTAAATCTTTATTATTAATATAATCTTCATATAGTGGAGTTGTATATATTTCAAAATTAACATTTTGTGGCATATTTGTAAATTTTATATTATAACAATCATCAAGAAAAAGTATATTTTCACTAAAACATTTTTTATTTTCCATGTCATTTGTAGGATTTGTATCATATTCAGACAAATATAAAAGTCCTGTAACAATAATAGGCAAAATCCATTGATTTAAGATAAATATGATAGTAAATTTTTTATCTTTTTTCATTTTATTACATTTGAATATATGTAAAATGTTTTTTATATTTTTTTTGATTCCTGAAACTCTTTTGGATTTCACTATCTCCACTATAGAATCAAATTTTATTTTTGTATTAAATTTATTTATATTAATATTCTTTTTATATATCATTTCTTCAGTTTGTAGCAATTTAAAATATTGATTTTTAAGATGAAATGCATTTAAGTTGCATTGTACAGAAAATATTAACAAAGACACAAATGAATTTGTAAATGGAAAGAATAACATTCCATATTTTATTATTATGTTTGTTATATTACACTGTGGAATCATGTTAAAGTTGTTTTGATTTATATTAATAGTATATTCCATAAATCTTTTAAATTTAATTTGTTGATTTGAATTAGCATCTTCTATATTCCATATACTTTCATTTATTGAAAAAATTTTATTATTCACTTTATTGTGATTCAAATAAGTAACATGTATCATAAAATTTGTAAATAATATACTTGATGTAAATATAGAAAATAATACATCAGATACCGACAAAATATATAATGGTGTATTTCTCCATTCTTTAAATTGTCTTTTTAATAAAACTATTATAGTAAGAACACTGGATAATAATAACATGTATGTAGATATATTGAGTATTATATAATACATCTTATGTATGCATAAATTTTTTATGATTTAACATGCACTTGTGTTATGTTATGCACTAAAATTATTTTAAAAATAATTATTTACTTGTATATTTTGCAATTCAAAAAAATACTATTTAGAAATGTTGTTGAATAGACAAGCATAGTATTTTATATTAATATATAGTATGTTAAACATGAGGCTATCTCAATAACTGTTATATTTTAGATATGATAAATATTGTACATATGAGGGTATATTGATTATTTATATAATAACAAATATTGGTATTGATATTTTATTTCTGTTTCTTATATGAACTACATTTATATAATAAGTTTTAATAAAATAATTTAAAATAATATGTTTTGACAAAATATTTTTTTATTATTATTTAAAGTTATTAATTTCTTAAAAAACATATATAAGATTGATATTCTTTTGATATTTGTTTTAGTATTTACTTATCATCATGTCAATTCGTCGTAAAACTGATCCTTTTATGATACAACGAATATGGGATGCTATCAAAATAACTGTACATCAAAGAAGTTTACCAAGTAATGATCGTATGGTACGGCATTTAGCTCGAGTTTATGGAATTACAGAACAAGAGGCACAAGAGGAATTAAATAAAGCTGTTGATGATGGACTTGTTTATTTAAAAAAAGTACCAACAAAAAATGGTATAGAACAAGAAAGTTATAGATTACCATCTGATATTATACCTAATGATGGTCACGATTGGTACTGTTATAAATGTCAGAAAGCCGGAATAGTGGAATGTTGTCAACAATGTCACAGAGTTTATCATCCTGAATGCCATATGCTTAGTAATGTTAAATTAAAAATATGTAATTTCTGTGAAGTAAGTACATTGAATTCAAAAATGAAATTTAAAATTATATATATATTGATAAAATATATAGAAATAATTGTTACAGAGTATAAATAATGATACATACTCAGATAAAATTGATCTCAACCATATTTTAAGTTTTACTTGTGGACATTTGAAAGCAAAATTGCCACCAGAAATTACAAACCGTACTATTGTTTTTAACAATGATCCTATTGTTACACCAGCTAATAGATACTCAGGTACAACTTGGATTAGTGAAGGGGAAGATGCATGGCGACCAGGTGTTCTTATAAAACACCATATGGATTTAGCTATTATGGATACAAAAATTAAGAAAAATGAATATAATAATTTGGCTGAGTTTCAAGCTGATGCACATAATATTTTACACAATATTATTATATATCATGGAAGTACGTATACACATGTGCATGCGCATGCATATACACAACAAATATAAATTATTTTTAATTTAAAAATTATAGTTATAATTTATAATTTTAATTCAAACATTTATTTAGCACATAGCATAATTGGAGAAATGGGTCATACAATGTATCAAGATTGCTGTTATGATCTTCAAGAAATTCGTCGTTGTGCTGACTGCTATAGAATATCTAATGAAAAATCAGAGAAACTGTGGTTTTGCATACCTTGTAATCCACCACATCAGTTAGTTTATGCAAAACAAAAAGGATACCCCTACTGGCCAGCTAAAGTGATGCAAGTTAATGGCAACGTTTATGACGTCCGCTTTTTTGGAGGTCATCACATGCGAGCCAACATCGAAAAAATGTTCATTCGGCCGATTACTACCAGTCTACAAAGTTTACAGGTAAAGATAAGTCACAAAATTATCCGGCGTTCAACGCGAAATTGTCACGCGAACACTGTGAAATTCTCGGTTTAGGTTACACGCCATTTACAATGTATTGTATCACTGACACAATAGAAGAGAACTCTTGAGAGAAAAAGAAATTTAGAAATTGTTGTTGCACTTAGGTATATTATTATCTTAACAACGAATTCTTGCATAGCCTTCGGAAAAAGGAAAATGGAAAGAAATGAAGGTATGCATAACATAAACTGTGGCCTAAAGTGTACAACTAATTTCTCACCACTCTGTTTCATTGTGCAATTGGAAGAAAATCAACTTTTCTTAAAACGTGCACAATTTACCTTCCATAGATAAAAAGATCCACTGCTTGGAACAGAGCATTTGATGAACTGAAGCATCATCAGAATTTGCTGCAAAAGTCGGGCACAACCATCGAAGAATTGGACATCGACGACGATAATGAGGGACCTAAACCGAACAAAATCCGAAATATAGAGTCATCAGGTTCAAAAAATACAACGGGAAATCCTACGAAACAACTTTTTAAGGATTTAAGAGTTAAAGTAGAACGTCTCAGTTCGGATAGTCACAATGATATACCGTCAAACCAAAAGGGAATCGAACATAATGAACGTTCTTCAAAAAGTAAAGCTAAAAGTGAAGAAAGACAAGTACCTTGTTTGCCAGTAGCAGAAGAAGAACCTGCAAGAGAAATATCCAGTACATGTCCTCAAGGTTTGAAGAAAGAAGGTTCTCAAGAAGATATGGTCACTTCTAGCTCTCAAGAACCAAGAACCAAGTGTGTTTTTGTACAAACAGAACAAATACAAACAGAAAAATTACCAGCAAAGGTATAATATTTAATAATTATTAATTCCTACTTTTATAATTTCAATTTTATAATGTTATGTATTATAGATAAAAAGAGAACGCAGAACGTCAGAACAACCTACTACAACAGCATTAGAAAAATTACGTCGTGAATTGGAATTGGAGAAATGTAAAGAATTAGAAAAATTACAAGCTGAACATGCTAAAGAATTACGACAACTAACAGATAGACATCAACAAATTATATCAGAAATAAAGAAGAAACAATGGGTAATAATTCTTTAATAGTTTTATTTATATATGCAATCTATATTTTCTTTATATATTTTAATTAATATCTATATTATATTATTTTTAGTGTTATAATTGTGAAGCTGAAGCAATATATCATTGCTGTTGGAATACTGCATATTGCAGTACTGATTGTCAACAAGTCCACTGGCAACGTGAACATAAAAGAGTTTGCCGTCGAAAACGTTAAATTAATAATGGATATAATAAATATAATAATATTAAATTTATAAGAAAAAAATTAAAATTATTGTATTTGAAAAAAGAGGATACTTTGTAGAAGTATATTAATATATTCTTGACACTAATTTGACATGCCTTGATGTAAGCTTTCTGAATGAAGGCATTTATAATATGTATGCAAACAAATGTAAATCCTTTGATTTGTAATTATTAATTATAATTATAAGTAAAAATGTAAAAAGATAATAAGCGATATTATTATATATGTATATTTGTTTTCAAACTCAATTTTTGAATAATAAAAAGGTATTTTATTTTAATTATTTATTAAAATCATAAAACTAAAAATATTATTAATCTAAAATCTTTAAGATGTTAATAAAAAGTTCTTATAATTAAAAACAAATTTATTAATATAAAAATAAGTTCATTAAATACATTAATGAAATATGTAATATTGTTTTAATGTTATAAATAAATGTTTTTTAATATTCTATTCATAATATTTTTGTAAAACATATGTATGTATACATATTAATAATAATATGATCTGAAATATTATATATATAAATACATACATGTCTCCTTATTCTCATATACATATAATTTATATGACAATGAAATAAACATATTTTATATATTAAAATACTCATATATATATTGTATATTTATATATAATATATGATTATATATTAAAATATTATATAAGAGATGCTAATATTACAATGATATAACTAAATATTACAATGATATAACTAAAAATAAATACATATATAATTTAAAATGTAAAAAATACATTAAAAAGAAGATTATTTATAATTATTTATTATACATTTCATATTCTATTTATTTTGAATATTAATAACAATATTTTCAATCTTCAGTCTTATGTGTTATAATTTAAGTAAAATAGGCAAATTTAATCAAGATTAATAATGAAATGAAAATAAATATTCAAACAATTAAAATAACAAATGATAAATTTGTTACTTTAAAAATAATTTTATTTATAATAAAAAATATTAAATAGCAAAAATTAAAAATATATATTGATGTATCTTTTATTTTTATTAACTATTAATATTATTTATTTCATAAAACATTGTATTTCATAAATAATGATTTAAATTTATTAAAGTATTTAATTTTAATGTATCAATCTTTTTATATTTAATTTTTTATTTATATAAAGTATTATTTGTTTATAAAAAATTAAAAATTAATGTTAAAAAATATCCTAAGATTTAAGTATTTTGAATTCTAGCCTCATCACCTACTACTGCCATGGCTATTCGACCTTTATTTACATTTTCAGTTACTTGCACATAATTTGTAGTATCAATATTATTAAGCATTAATTTTTCCAATAACTGTAATTCTTGAAGTTCTAATTTTTCACCAAGTTGTCTAAGTGCATTTAGTACCTCTGCACGCTGAAGATCACAAACTTCTTTAGTTATTTTTCCAAGTTTCATATCATATTCAATTTGAGCTAAGCGATTTTTAAGTTGTGATGTTTCACGTTTCCCAAACATTCTAATAACAGCTGGTGTTTTAAATGCTTCACTAATTGCTGCTTGAATAGCCTAATTAAAATTTTTAGTATATATTTATAATTTTTCTTATATTTTATAATAAATATTTTTAGATGAATATTTTTTTTAATTTAAATATATGCATTTTTATAACATACCAATTGTATTGCACCTAGTTGATCAATTAATGTTGTATCACCAGATATCAATCGTTGCAAACTTTCATTGAATTCTTGTAAATCTTCTTTTGTGAGTTGCATAGCTTCTTCATATGCAGCTGCATCTAATAAATTCCTATTAATTGCAATAATGTTATAAAAAAAAATATTAATTTTAAAATTATTAAATTAACAATTTGAATAATTTATCAAATATACCGATTTTCTTCTATATCCTCTAATTGTTGTACTAATCTATCCAATTGTGCCTCTAAATTTTTTTTTAATTTTTCAGTTTCTAATTTACCGTGAGAACCCATTTTTAAATGTAAAAACAATAATAATTAAATTTGAAATAAAAAGTAAAAATTATTATAATCGGCTGAACTTTACGAGTGAAATCACGATTAGAATTAATTTTTTAATATTGTTACTTGTTACTTTGCTGCATATTTATTTGCTGTGTATTTAAAATCTTTTATATTATTTTATACTTATATATTTTTACCACATATATATTCCCACTGGTTTAATATATTTATATTTTCTTCCAATTAATAATCTATTTATTTTTTAATTTTAAAGATATAAATATAATTGTAATTTTTATATGCAATTTCATTCTGCTAAAACAATATCAAGCAACAAAAATATAATATTTCAACAAATCATCAATTTTAGATATGAATAACACATATAAAAGTAGCAAATGCACATGCATGTGTGCATATGTGAATAGATAAAATATACAATCTTACGTAAATACTTAACAATTCTGTTTGTATTAATTATTGTATTGTATTATTATACAAATATACTTATATTATATTATATATATATATATATATATATACTTATCATATAATTATCTATAAAAATATATATAAAAATAAATATATATATTTATGTTTGTTCTATTGTATATTTTTTAATTATGAATTTACGTGGAAAAATATTTAACTAATTTAAATGTTAATATTAATATATTAATATATTAAATGTTATGTTTTCAATATAATTATATGCAATAATTTATTTCTTTTTACGATTAAATAAAATATTTTCTATTAAAAAATATAAAATTAATTGATTAATAAACTTATTCTTAAAATTATTTTTATTCATAAAATAATGAATAATAGTTATAATATAATTTGTATATAAATAATAGTTGTAAAATGTTATAATATATAGGAATGATTAAAATCCATTATTGTAATCATTTAAAATCCATTATTGTATTTTTTACTGATTTATATATTATTAACTATCCAATATCTGTATAACCGTCAGTGTGGCTAACAGTCAATCAAATAGTTACCTGATTGACTCTATATTCCCTACATAGTTTATGCCAGACATTTGATTGGTTGCTGTAGAATTTTGTTTCACTATGTTACCACAAATCCGTTTGTGTCGTTTCGAAAAAATAATATCTTTTGGACAAATTAATTAATGCGCATGTAATTCTAATTTATAATTAAATAACTTAACAAATATCGATTATCGACGATTTTTTAATTTGTTTTGAATTATCTTTATATCGAATGTGTAACAAGTTAAGATTCTTGTATATTACCATTAAAGAACGGTAGATAAGAGGAAATGGAAAGAAAGGCGTGCTGTGGTTGTGCTCAATGTATGGTGCGCGTCGCTTCTTTTTTCTTACAAGAAAACAAGTCATTTACTATTTGTCAAACAATTTACGCGACATTTTAGGCAGGTAGAACGATCTAGGTACGATTATTGGTGATAATAGTTTATTAGTATTTCAAGAAGGAATAAGTGATCGTGCGCAGTTGAATATTCCAACCGCGCGCAAATCTTGGAAAAGTAATAAGAGCGTAAACACTTTTGATCGAACGAACCAACGGACAAAGACGTTGTGCAGAAAAAGTGTGTAATTTATTGATGAGTACAAACGAAAACTGTTATTTCAATAAAAACAGAAGTATGGAAAAAGTGAACATATAGTTTTACGTATGAATTGACCGTAGTTGAAGTGCGCGCGCGTGTAAATGTGCTACCAGTTCCGTACGGATGACCGAACGCTAACCATCGTTTCACGTACGTCGAATTTTTCAGCAAAGTTTGCTTGGACAAGAAGTCTTTCGACAAACATTACGGTTAACTACGTGCGTGTGAAAATAACGTACCTATGAGGACCTCAGCGAGCCACATAAGGCAACAAGCTTTGAAGGTAGTGGAGAGTTTAAAGAAGGGAGGCCTACGCCTGCGATGAGCATGCCAACGAAAGGGAAACATCACCACCTGCCCCAACATCATCAACATCATTCACAGCCACATCATAATCCGCCACAACATCAACCTCAACTCATAGTGAACGTCAATCAACCAAGTGTTCATTCGTCTCAAACTTACAACACTGTGGTTACAACTAATACACCGCGTTTTGTACCAAATGCTGGTGAGTACAAATTGTAAATTATATCTTTAATTTCTTTTAATTCTTATATATGTTATCATATATCTATTTTATTCATTTTATATATTTATGTTTTTTTTACGTCATTAGATTTTTACGTATAACTTAAATACTCGAATGAGGTTATGTTTTAAGGTTAGGACAGCCATGCGGTCCATGTGGCTATCTTTTAGGGACATTTCGTAAAAATCTCTATAATAATGCATTTATTTTCTTATATTATTTTATATCCTTTATATAAAAATTAATTATTGTTTTTGTTTTCGATATTAATTTTATTAAAGGATTATGCTTAAAAAAACTTGGAATTTTAATTAAATAAAGAAAGCACTACGTACATGCAAGTTGATTTTTTTATAATTTGTATATTTTTGTTTTAAAAAAATATATTGAGATTATGGCTTCCCAGATCTTTAATTTAAATAATATATTTTAAATGAACTTTTAATGATTTATTTTGTTTTATATTTTTTATGTTTGAAACGATAAGATATATTTTTTAAAAATTATATTTTATTTTTTTATATTTTATGTAATTTTAATATAATGATACTTCGTAAATTTTTTATTCTATTTTTTAAATTCTTAGATCTATTTGTTTATTTATTTATTTTTTTTATAGTAATATCTATTATGATTTTTTAAATATTTAATAATATTAATATATTTTTTGAAAATTATTTGATTTCATTTATTTTCATTATATGTATAGTTAATGATTAAATATACAATTTATTAGTTAACAATTAAATGTACAAGAAACTTATGTTAATATAACTTATAAATATAACTTATGTTAATGTAACTTAATGAAATTATGGAAGCCATGAAAGAGACATTTGTGTTTATGTGAATTCTATTATTCTCTGCTGTAGTTCTGAATTTTTTCATATAATTTTACAAATTATATTTATGATTATTATTACAGTTATTGTTTTATAAAAAAATTATATAATTATTTATACATATTTTTATATAGTTAATAATTATATATTTTATAATTATATATATATAATTCTTTGAAGAATTATCTATCATAACAACATAATTCATATAAATTGTAACATTCAGAAAACAAATATATTTTTAGAATAGTTAGATTTGTTGATGATATACATATAAAAAAAATATAATTTACAAATTATAAAA